AGGGTGTGTAGCATCTCTTCCAGTCCTGGCCATAGCCCCAGTCAACATAGCAAACGTGGGTCCGATCTGAGGAGCTGAAGCAAGCCCATAAGTTACTGCCCCTGCCAGATTGCCCAGCTGTGTCCTAGGGAGGGCCGTAGAACTAGGGGCCTTCCAGGAAGACTGTAACTCCGTTATAAAATCAGGAAGTATTGGCAACCCCTCTGTTTTACGACGCTGAGGGCCTCTATCAAACACTGAGGTTGATGTTGAAGCAGCCTGGGAAGGCAGTTTTGCACGCTCAGCAGCTCTGGAAATCACTGCTTTATCTGAAGGGTCCAGCGCAATAGCCTCTGAGGCCTCAGAAGCACTATCCCCTGTTTCTGACTCGGAGATATCCTCTGGTTCTGAAGGCAAATAATCTTCATCCCTTCCAAACACTCCAGATGCTGCCACTGAAAGCTCATCAGGGTGGCGGCATGGACGTTTTGACAATGGCACCCCTAAGTCTTGAGGTTCTGCCACCCATTGCTGAGCCACTAACAAAGTGTTTAGGGTCTCCTGCATACCTTGCATTTGCTTCTGAAGTTGACCAATGTCCCCTTCTACATGCTTGCGTTTACGAGCTTGTTTGCGTTTGACACCTTCCTCCTGAGGATCTCGTTCAGACCGAAATGGCTCTTTGCCTGCCGGCATCTCAGAGGGTAAACCAGTGGTGTTCTCCTCTTGCATCATAAAACAAGGAAACTGAAATCAGTTAGATAGCTTTCGTCTCCAGAGACGAAGAGGCCTCTTTGTCTGAATTACAATAAGACTCCCACGCTGTGATCACAAACAGCTCTCTGTAACTTTCACCCTTACAGGTGAAGAGGCCCCTCTTTGGCTGTTTGTTATGAAATGCCTATAAAATATATATATATAAATACAATTATTAATATAAATATAAATATATAAATATAAATATACTCACCTTACATTTTGTAAGTGAAACACGCACACAACCATGGTAGCTTTCACCCTCACGGGCGAAGAGGCTCCTTTAATCACACAACACACTTGTTTACAAAAAGCACGTGCCAACGCAGCAGTTTAAACCCTCATGGAAAAAGAGACTCTGGTCAGCCAGATACAACAAAAGAACCCGCAGCGAAATCTTACCATCAAACAACTTTCATCGAGGAGGCAAAAAAAGAGAAAGAGCCGGCTACATCGCACCTGTATTTATAGACCGTGATTGCAAGCGGGGCGTGGTTAATTTGATATAACGTCTCCTGACAGCTCATCCTTAGCGAGGCTGACCCATACTGTGGCGCGTTGACTGAGATGAAATAGAACTGAGGTTATAATGAGGCACTTCCAATGGAAGTAAATGAGAAAAAAAAAAAAAACTGAAAAAAAAACAGGCATTAAAATACTCACTGATGAAACAGTTTGTGTTAACATCATTTTAGTGTGTGGTTTGGTTCTGTAAGGCACTGCTGTCTTCTGTAGAGCTGCTTTACAGCTGAAACGCATCTTACAGACACTGGAACTGAACTGAACTGAATCAACACTGAACTGACTAATGCTGAATAACAATATTGCTGCCTATAGCTGATTGATTAACTTCACACTGAAATTGATCTGAACTGACTTGAGCTAAATAATGACACTCTTGTCTCTTAGAGCTGCTTTACAGCAGAATTACAGTCTCTATAGTTGAGTTTCTATCAATGATTCTGCTATGGTCCTGTTTATCTCTGTGAAGCTCTAGTATAAAGTGCTATAGAAATAACAGTCACTTGACTTAAAAAAAGTTTTTTTCAAAAGTGGTACTCTCATCTAGGAATTTGTTAAAACGTGTTAAAAGTTTATTCTTATATGTAAAATTGCACATTAAGCCTGATTAATAAATGCTGTAAGAGTGTTATTCATGATTATTTCATGTTAGCTGCATCAGTTTAAAGCATATGGATAGGAGTTTGTTGAGCAATACTGATGCTTAACTTCAGTAGCACTGTATCTAAGAACCTGTAAGACATTATAATACAAGCTGTTTACAACCATGTAAAGTATTAATACCTGCATATTACCAAAGTAATGTGTAATGAGTGTGTGTGGCATTGACAGTATGTGTGTCTGTTTGCTGAGGTTTATTAATTCCAGCTCTGACTTCATGATGATTTACTCAAGCATCTACACCAGCAAGTTTCACAGTGTGTGTGTGTGTGTGTGCGTGGGTGTATGTGTTTGTGTGTGCGTGTGTGTGTGTGTGAGTGTGTGTGTGTGTGTCTGTGTGTGTGTGTGTGTCTGTGTGTGTGTGTGTGTCTGTGTGTGTGTGTGTGTCTGTGTGTGTGTGTGTGTCTGTGTGTGTGTGTGTGTCTGTGTGTGTGTGTGTGTCTGTGTGTGTGTGTGTGTCTGTGTGTGTGTGTGTGTCTGTGTGTGTGTGTGTGTCTGTGTGTGTGTGTGTGTCTGTGTGTGTGTGTGTGTCTGTGTGTGTGTGTGTGTCTGTGTGTGTGTGTGTGTCTGTGTGTGTGTGTGTGTCTGTGTGTGTGTGTGTGTGGCAGTTTTCTGTCAGGTTTTAAAGTCAATACCCATTTCTTGTGAATATGTGAATGTTATCTATTGGTTTCTGTTTCTCTGTAAACTTTTCCCTCTCTCTATCCAGTTTTGTTGCTCCTGCATGTTGAGGCACAATGGTGTCAAAATGTCCCTGTCAGAGACAAATCCACCAGTTTTGAGGGTGAATTGTGTGTATGTTTATGTGTATGTGTGCGTGTGTGTGTGTGTGTGTTTATGTGCATGTGTGAGTGTGTGTGTGTGTGTGTTTATGTGTATGTGTGCGTGTGTGTGTGTGTGTCAATACCCATTTCTTGTGAATATGTGAATGTGTTATCTATTGGTTTCTGTTTCTCTGTAAACTTTTCCCTCTCTCTATCCAGTTTTGTTGCTCCTGCATGTTGAGGCACATTGGTGTCAAAATGTCCCTGTCAGAGACAAATCCACCAGTTTTGAGGGTGAAATGTGATAGCAGGCTATGAGTGCACGCTTATTTCCTTTACAACTCTCAAACAACAGTGAAAACATCTCAAGTGTGCGCAGAAGGGAGTCTGGCTGATCTTCTGTCATGAAATACACTCTTGAGACCATTAACTTGCATATCTATAACTCACATCATGATGAAATGTTGAATTATATGACAGTAAGGGCACTTATTTGCATTTCATGAGAGACATAGCAGTACTTGCAAGACAGCAAAAATTGTGTTAAAGTTTAAGGTAAGTTTAGGCTTTAGTCTTCAGTCTGTGCAAATGAATCACTGCTGTCATGACACTCATGAAGCTGGATGTGAGAATCAACACAACACAACAGCTTCTTTGCATTAAAGGGTTAGTTCACCCAAAAATGAAAATTAGTCCATAAATTACTCACCCTCAAGTTATACTGACGAAAAAAAAAAACTGAATACAAAAAAATTAAAACAGAAAAAATAAAACAGGCTAATTTGGGAAAAATAAAACGGATTTCATAGGGCCCTACAGATATCATGCATCTGAAGCTATAATTTTAATACTAAGCAACAGTGCATATTATATAGGGCATATTTCAATTTTTTTAAATGGCGCTCACTCGTTTTTGTGAAAGACCCAAGAAGGACCTCAAGTTTGTAAATGTGTGAAATTGTATAGGGCCCCATTCCTGTATTTTGCCTGGGGCCCCCAAATCACTAAATCCACCCCTGCCTAGGTGTATATGACTGTCTTCTTTCAGACGAATCCAGTCGGAGTTATATTAAAAATTGTCTTTGATCTTTCAAGCTGTTTCATGGCACTCAGCAGGTTTTGCATGCATCAGTCCGAAAGAAGTTAAATAAAAAGTGCCCATCAATAAAAAAAAAGTGTCTCACACTGCTCCGGGGGGTGAACAAAGTCCTTCTGTAGCGAATCGATGCGTTTTTGTAAGAAAAATATCCATATTCAAAACGTAATAATCACTTTAATGTAGCTTGCGCCAGCAGTTGTACACAGAAGCAGCTCCG